ATAAAGGGCCGGGCGGCGGGCGGCGCGGGCAGAGCGGCTCCGGCAGCGGCGGCGATGGGGATGCTCAACCTGCCGAGCTTCCTCTCCTGCGGGAAGAAGAAGGTGAGGCGGCCCGCGGGGTGGCTTGGGTCTGGGTTCCCCGGGAAGGGGGCACCTGGGCAGGTGCGGGTGTTTGGAGCAGGACGGGTATGGAGGTGCCCAGGTGGGCAGAGGGGCACTCGGGCAAGTAGGGTGCACGTACCTGGGTGGCTGTGGGAGCGCTGGGCGGGTGAGGTACGTACCTGGGCAGGTATGAAATTGTCTGGGCAGGGGAGATCCAGACAGGTACTGGAATATGGGGGCACTGGGGTAGGTAAAGAGGGATGAGAGGGCATGAGCCCTGGGCAGGTGTAAAAGGCACCTGGGCACGTGATTTTAAAGCGGTCAGTAAGGGTATGTGATGGGGTGAAGGTCTGAACAGGTATGGGGGTATTTGGGTATGTGCAGGGGCAGAGTAGGGGAGTCTCCTGGAGGTGCTGCCCCCAGGAGCTGACAGCACAGGGGACTAAGGCAGGAGCAGGGCAAGACTGGCCAAGAAGGTTGTTTGGTCTCTCTGGTGGGAGCCTCGCTAACAGGTCCATGCTGTCCTGCCAGGGATCAGCTGGACTGGCAGCCCACCCGGCTCTGCCCACCCTGTCTAGCTGCCCTGCCCAGTGATGTCAAGGTGCTGTTTTGGACAGAGAAATGAGGATATGACTGCCCTGCTTGCCTATGGGGTGATCCTGAGCCTTCCTTCCACTTTTCTTCCAAGGACTTCAGTTTGTCAAATGAAAAAGATGCCCACGCCAGTGACAGTGATGAGAACTCAGAGCGTGGCAACTGGTCAAACAAAGGCGACTACCTGCTCTCCATGGTGGGCTATGCTGTGGGCCTTGGAAACGTCTGGCGGTTTCCCTACCTCACCTACCAGAACGGCGGAGGTACCTGTATTGAGTGGCAGTGTCGGGTGGGCACACCTTGCTATCCCCAGGAGAGAGAGGAGGGCCCGCCCTGAGGCTGGGCACGTTTTGTCAAAGCTGGATATGAGCATCACCCTGGAAAGTGGGATAGTGCCTGCTGATGGGAATGGGAAGAGGAATAAGAGGCATCTCTGTGCTTTTTGGGTACCAGCTGAGGAGGGAAGTAGTATTTAGCTTTAATTGCAGACTTCCACCTGAGAATTCCAGAACTCTTCTGATTTACTTGTGACCAACATGCATCTTTTTGTCAATGTGCCAATATTTTCTACTGACCTAAATAGCTGTTCTCCCTCCCCAGTGCTTACCTCCCTGATATGTTTATAGAGAGCAATTGGATCCCCTCTGCACCTTTGTTTTGCCAAGCAAACAAGCTAAGCTGGAATAATTATCTGAGCTCAATAATTATCCCCATCAGATACTTGGGAAGCGTGAGGCAGAGAGAGCCTCTACCTGCTTACACAATGAAGTAGTGGCAAAGCCAAATGGACGGACTGGCTTCCCCGGCTGCTATTCCAGAGCTTTGCCTACCTGCCAGGCAACCACTTGTAATTAAAGAGAGCGTAAATGCCAAGTAACTGCAGAGGACTTACTTGTATGTACTTATTTGCTCTGTGTAACAGTTGATGGAAGTCAAATCCTGGACTGTAAATGCAGCACAGCCCCGTACAGCTGTGCATGGAACACAAGGTGGCATTCTTGGTACAGAAGTTTTACTGGAGTGAGTTTGGCTGGCTTGTATTACTTACGGTTAATGAAGAAAATTGTGAAAACAGAAGTCATGACATCGGCCTTTCCACTAGACCTTTTTTTTTTTTTCCTTATCTGCCACAGCAGAAAGCTTTGCATTTAAAGTATGTTTGTGCTGCTGCTTGTATTCTGCTCTGTGTCCCTTGCCCATGATTGATAAAGACAACTGTTACATCCTTGTTTTGAAACACAGGGGTAATCCAGTTAATTCTATGGGACTATTTACTTCCTTAAATTACACCACGTATTTGCAGTTCCTTGCAAAACTGGGTCCCCGGTTGCTTTAAGTTCACTGAGAGTGAAGAGGACAGATTTCTGCTGGGTTAGAAGGTCGTGTTTAGGAAATCTGTGCTCTCACTTTCCCTATCTTCTGCGTGCACACAAAGACATGCCAGTCCCTTTTGCAGAACAGGGCTCTCATTGATATCAGGTTAATGTGCACTTTAAAATGGCCTCAAACATGAGCCATGCTGAGATGCTGTTTGACACAGGAGGCAGCCAACCATAGAAAATAACTTTCATGCTTTGATGTCCAGTTGCTACTCTAACAGGGCAGTTGCAAATCACAGCCAAGTACATGAAGGAATGGCTTTGTACCTTTTTAAATTAAAAGCTGGAAGATAAACTGGAAAGCAAAGCTGATGGTTCCTACAGCTGAACAGTGTTCCTGCTTGTATGAGAGTAGTATGTCTTCGATAGTTTTTGTAAAATCCTTTTAATTCTGTAAAAGAAGCCATCCCATGTAAATCACCAGTTCTTATGGTAATCTGTCTCTTCATCACAGGTACTGTTTAGTCTCACAGAAACCAGCATTTACAAACAAATATCTCTATTCTGTAAAAGCAAAAAAACCCCACAGTGGGATATTTGAGGCAGGGGAAAAAGGGGAGTATAAAATGTGATAGAACACGTAGTGTTGAATAATGAAAGATTAACCGTTTTCTCTGTATGTATGTCTGTGGTTTTTTTCCCCTCTCTCCCCTCAGGTGCTTTTCTAATCCCATACACCCTGATGTTGGCTTTAGCTGGGTTGCCCTTATTTTTCATGGAATGTTCCCTTGGGCAGTTTGCTAGTCTAGGGCCAATTTCCGTCTGGAGAATATTACCGTTGTTTCAAGGTTGGTATTATTATGTTTCCTTAGATCTTTTTTATTTTAGCAATAAACAGATGTGAATGAATCATTTATTCACCAAGTTACTAATTCTCAGAAGCCAGTTTCCGTGTAGAGAATATTCCCAATGTTCCAAGGTCAGTATTCCCAGGTATATCTTCCTTATTAATCAATGAATAAAGATATGTGGGTTAAAGATTCCCCCCAAAAGGCTGCCAATTATGAGAGGTTTTATCAGTGATTTTCCTGGTGTTACGCAGCACATCACTCTTACTGCAACTGTACAGGCAGAAGGAAATCGCCCTGTTTGCGGTGTGAGGGGAAAACCTGTTAAACACCTGACGGTCTGTGCAACAGACTGAAAATAATTTTTAGAAGTTAACTTTATCTCCGTTTCTTTACACTTTACGTCCTATGTAGCTTGCAAGGCAGTTCCATATTGGATGGCTAATTCTGTATTTGGCTGCCAGTGCTGCCACAGGCACGTGGGTCTAATTGCTTTATGTGATGCATTCATCCAACTCACTGCCTTGAGAGTCATCTGCTGGTGTGATAAAACAGGCTAGGCTCCGGCTTCATAAGGTGCAGTGCCTCTTGTGATAAGAGAAATAGCTGCACTGTGTAGTGGTAGTTTACCTGTCTCTCCGAGGGTTTAAGTTTCATAGGGAGATTTATGTGTTTGGAAACAACTAACCATGTGCTTTACTCACTCCTATCCATCCAGGTCCTGTACCAGTGGGTGTAAAGGACTTTGTAATTGGTCTTGTTTGTCCTCTGTATCTACCAGAGGAATTAATGTAGGAACAAGGAAGTTTTTCTGATGCAATAAGAATTTTACTTGCCACCTTCTACAGAAACAAAAGGGATTACAGTCTGGCTTGTTGTCTAAACTGTCTTTTTGCCAGTCTCTGCTCTGTAGCACAAGCAAGCTTTCACAAGAGCAGTATATTTAACTTTAAAGCAAAAGTCTATAGACACGGCAAATCTTTTATGTATCTGTGAAGATATAACCTTAAACATAGAATCTAAGATGATTAGGACAGTTTGGCAGACTTTCCCAAACCTGCAGAGCAAAGTTCATTTTAACAAAGGTGGAGAACATTGTTATTGGCACAGATTTACTCTTCTGTGTTGCTTCTCATTTATCGACAAAGCCATTCATTACAATGGGATCTTCAAAGTGCCTTGGTCAGCCCCAGTATAGTTTCTTTTATTTTACTAGAAATCAGAGCTTCCCACTGACCTGGGAGAGCACAAAATGTTGAATTTCTCCTTTAGACTTGGACTTAGCAACTAGTCCAATTGTTCTGTGGGCCTGATTCAAACTCTCAAAACCACGTTGAGATGGGCATTTTGTATCATATCACTCATCTCATGGCTATACCTTTTTCTGGTTTGGTTGCTGTTCAAAATTATTTAAAAACAAACAAAAAACAACTTCAACTTTTTCCCAAGTAGCCTTTTAAAAGTCAGGTGAAGGCCTTTGTTTGTTGGTTTGGTTTTTTTCCAACCCAAGTTTCAGGTTAAGACATTTTGTCTTTCTCTTTCCTAGGAGTGGGCATCACGATGGTCATCATCTCAACATTCGTGGCGATCTACTACAATGTTATCATTGCTTACGCACTCTACTACTTATTTGCCTCTTTTCAAAAAGTGTTACCATGGTCAGACTGCTTTTCCTGGGCAGATGAGTTCTGCAGCAAAACTCGCTTAGGTACCGTACTTAAGAGAAAGGGCTTAATATTGCTGTTTTGGATACTTGTATTTTGTACTGTTTTCTGGGAGAAATTACAGGAGCAAGACAGATATGTGTGGCTTGAAAAAAATCCTTACTGGAGTTTTGTCTCTGAATACATGGGAGTGATGCTTATCTGCTTCCCTGCCACCAGTTCTGGGTACTTGGTGAATCTAGAGAGAGCTGGGCTGAAACCTCCTTGCTGGATCCTTTTTTCTTCTTTAGACGGTTTCTTCCAGCCCATATACTCCCTGGAAATACTGCATTCCCATTTCATCAGGCTTCCTGGCAAAGCACATACCTTCCTTACATCAAGCAAGAGTATTGCTTTAGCTTTTATCTGGGGTTCTTTCATTGCCCCTTGTCTCCCCTGTGGCTATGGTAATCCTGAGCACCAGTGAAGCACTGCTTTCACACTTTATTAACTCTTTAGAACATTATCTCCATGCTATTGTTCTTAATGTTTGGCAGACTATGTACAGCCAAACACTTGTTATCTCAGCAGTTTCCGGATCAGACCAGCTTAAGGCAAAAGGTGAAGTTGGTGAGATAATTAGTAGTTAGTAACTGGAAATGTATTGCCAAGTATTAATGTAATTGTAACTCTCAACCAGATACCTGAAAATCTCTTCTAAGATTCATAGTTTTCATAAAATGAAGTTGAGATGCTCTATTTAACAAAATGTGCGTTCTTGCTTAGGGGCTGAAGAAAAATATTTTAGCTCAAAATTTGTAAGTGCAGGAGAAATACAAAACTGAACTGAAGCAACTGCTCTGAAACAGGCTTCAACAAGACTTTCCCAGTACGTGCTGATGTGCTGATATAGTGTTCTTTACTGTATGTTCTGGCAAAAAAAAAAAATCTCAACCCAAAAACCCCAAACAGCAACCACCTCCCACCCCTCCAAGGAAAATGTTTAAAAACATCTGGTAAGCCTTCTGCTGTAATAAGATGAAGTTGCTAGAGGATGATCTGTGTGTAACTTTGGCTTGGGACAAAGGTTTTCATAGAGTGACTGAAGCTACAGTCTTAAGCATCCTCAGTTCTGATTTTTGCAAGTATTCTTGATAAGTGAAGAGTGGAGCTGAGCACACCAGATTCTTGGTGTTCTGATTTACAGTCAAAGTAACAAAGTCCCAGCTGCAGGTGATAGTTTGGGTTTGGTTTTAAATATTGTTAGTGGGCAAACTGAAGCTGTAACTGTTTAGAAAATGTATTTGCTATAATAGTCTGTGTTTTTGTAATATTCATCACTGTGTTAATGATCCCTTCTTGCTTAATTGCTTTCTTTCAGTAAGTGACTGCAATGCAACCTTAGATGGAGAAATCATTCATGCAAACTACTCATTCATCACAAGCAACAATCTCACATGTATGAATGGCACCATGAACTACAAACCAGTGCAGTTTCCCAGTGAGCAGTACTGGAAGTAAATATTCTAAAGAAATTGCTAAAAATTTATGCTTTTTATTATGCATTGCGGTTTCGAATGTATCTTCTATTTTTGTCTTATCTTGCTGTCCAGAAACAGTTTAGTCAAGGGGAGTGGGCATGCAAATCTACGCAAAGGGGACTTCAAATTTAATTGATGAGTCTGGGCAGTTATAAAAAAAAAAAAAATATAGAGAAGCATGTGAGTCAACTTGTAGCAAACTGAAATATAGTCCTGCTTAAAGAAGTCCTCTTCTCTGGAGTCCTGGTAGGGACTACTTAGCCTCTTTATGTAAGGCATACACTTTTTTTCAAGAGTTACTGTGCAAAATAGATTCACCTTGTTCTGAATATGTGTCTGCTGTGAAATTGTTATTCCTTTAGCCACATGGTTTCAATTTGCCTCATGTTCCTTGGGTTCTCAGGAACTGATTCTTCTTATTGGTTCTTCTCTTGCCATCAGAATTTCATGATTAACATGAAAGAGCTGAGGTAGGCCTGATAGGTGATGTATGAGAGCTGAGGGCTGGTAGACTTTAAAAAGAAGGGAAAAATGCTGTTACACATTCAGTTTTTCAATGCCAGTCATGCAGTTCTAACTGTGCACTCATGAAAACTGCTGCAGGGTCTTGTAATATCTGCAGAAACCAGCTCACTTTCCTTCAAGAAGTAGCTGAAGAGGATATGCCCCTGTTGCTCTCTTCTCATTGCAGCATTTTGTGCTTTCAGTAAAGTGGCTCTTCAGCGCTCGAGCGGGTTGGATGAGACCGGTAACATCGTGTGGTACCTGGCACTCTGCCTTCTCCTGTCCTGGATGATTGTTGGAGCTGTGTTGTTTAAAGGAATTAAATCTTCTGGAAAGGTAAGTTAGGAAGAGCAAGGAGCAAACTTTTGGCCTGATCCTGCCCTTCCAATGTCAGTTGGCCTCAGGGAAGGTTAGCACAAGGCAGGATGCAGTCCTAACTCACTACCCTATGCTGGACTCAGCATTAAACTTTCTTTCTGCTTCTTGGCTTCATAACTGTTACATAAAACATGAGTAAGGTGCTGATTACACAGCAATTACTTAACACATGGGTTTTTTAGCTCCACCAGGGCTGCCATGTATTTGGGGATCTTGCTGTCATGCAGGTGATTCCAGCTGAGTTTAGACAGTCACCCGGCCTGTCATGACGGACATGTGCATGTGACTGCACACATGTGCACACACCCTGGGAACACCCGGTAATTATTTGCACCTCCAGAATAGTTGAGATGTTTGGACAATACAGGTCAAGTGCAGCAAATAGATGTGCGTGTGCAGGTTCCCACCAGATTGTGAAATGTTGTTTGTACTCAAGATCTCAAGCTGCTTTTAGGGACCAGGTTCATAGGTGCTTGTTTTCAGACTCTGTTTCTGCTGAGCTCCAACTTCCATGTGTGGGAGCAGGGCTGCTGGAGTTTTCCTTGGACTAGGTTGGCTCCTCTCCAGACTTCAGGCAGGCTGAATATCATTCTTCCCTGCCTGAGGCCCTTTTCCTCGTTTAGTTCCTTCATTCCCATACTCCTTTCTTACCTCCAATTTGCATCTCCATCACTACTTCTTGTGTCCTTAGCCTTCATTCCTTTCTCACCCTTTCTGCACTGATTTTCCCCCCCCCTCCCCCTTCTATTTCTTCTGTCACTGTGTCTTGCCATGGTTCCTCACTGTCTTTCTTACTTTCCTCAGTCTGATGTCTCCTATTCTCCTTTCATTGGGAGCTTTCTACCCTCCGTCTCAGCACTTCAGGGTGGAGAATCTATGCTTTCCCAGCCACAGTTCTGCCACATGGCTCCTCATAAACTCACATTCTTTGCGTTCCTGACAATTGGCTCTTCCTGTTGTCACCTCTCTTCTGGCACGAAGGTAAGCCTCTCTGAGGAGTAAGGTAAGACTCAGAAGAATCTAGCTGAGCAGGAACAAGACAAGATGAAGAGTGGAGAGAATTGACTATTCTGGGCAAATACAAAGGAGGTCTCGCCATATGATTGCGCAATGCTATGGCTTGGTGTAACCAGCAGTACCGGCTCAATTATCTGTCTGCGTAACACTGAAACTAAGTCTCGAGAAACAAGAGTATTGTTGAACGTAGCCTGCATGATAATAGCACTGCTTAGCCCTGCTTCTGGCCTGGATCCCATTGTGCTAGAAGATGTGTAGACAACAAAAAAAATATCTGTCTGAGAGAACCTAAAAGTCCTTGTTCCCATTTTTTTTTTTTTTTTTTTTTTTCTTTTCAGTCTCATCAGGTGATAATTCAATCCTGATTACCTAATTTTTCACTGGCTTTCAGTTCACACTTGCTAGAAGATCACATAGCAAGAGACCTCTGGGGTAGTTGAGTCCAGGCCTTGCTACAGCAGTAAATCATCTCAGAAAACACACTTCTGAAACTGGTCAAGTGCTATCTGAAAAGTGGGTATGTGGCTTGGGCCTTCTGCTGGAATGCAGCTCCAGAACCGGCTAAGCCAGATGGTTTAGAGCTTGATGTGTGTTCATTTCCCTGGTTGCCTGTTTTTCATTTGTACCAGCAGACCTTAGCCCAAAACCTGGCCATTCCTTCTGCACGGAGATCTGTGCATCCCCTCGCTCCTAATGTGTATCCCTGCCCTTCTTTCTGCAGGTTGTTTACTTTACCGCACTCTTTCCATATGTCATCCTGCTCATCTTGCTGGTGCGAGGTGCCACCTTGGAAGGTGCTCTGGATGGCATCGAATACTACATTGGGAAACAGTCCAACATCACCAAGCTGATGGAGGCAGAGGTGAGAGGTAGTGTCAGCCCTGGAAGCGTGACACGCTTCTGTGGTTCTGTTACTTAGAGCAAGTTGTTTTTTATTCAGTCAGGTGCTTCTTTGTGTCCTTCCCTGCATTTTGTTTATGCAGCTGGGTTCTGTGTTTTCAGTAACCCCCAGCTCTATCAGATGTCTAGCCCCTATTCTAGATCCTCTCAATCTAAAAACTAGCCACTTTCTGCCCTTTCCCTGCCACACCAGATGGTGATAAGTATGGTATTGCCTTTGAGCAGGTCTTGGGGGTCATGCTGAAGTTTCATCTTAGCAAGACCTGCTGAGAAAGTTCTTGCTGTGGGGTCAAGTGTTGCTCTCATTGCAGGAGCTCTACTTGCTTTGGTTATTGATAACTTCAAGGGATTTTATCGGAAGGTTGAAGGGACCTCTGACTTTGAAATTCAGGCTGTGCTTTGCCCAGGAAATTAGTTTGGGAAATTAGGTGGACTGGGGACCTTGTGCAAAGGAAGTCTGGATTATTATTTTTTTTTTCATCTGGCTTACACAAGCATTATTTAATTTTTACCAAAAGCAAACACTCACTGCAATATTTATTTGTTGTGTTTGATGTGAACATTTGGCACTAACTGAGGGACTGCAGCAGAGGCAGAAGGGGTTTGTATGGGTCATGGTGTGAGAAGAGCAAGTGGGAGAGCACATGGAAGTTCTCACTCCTACAACCCTGTCCTGGTTTTCCTTACTCCTTGGCACTGTAACAAGATTCATATCTTAACAACTCACATTTGTGAATTAATTGAATCTCTTCCTCAAGGCTAGCCCCAAAAGACAGCTATTTGGCAACACACTTGGGATGGGATCTTTGGACATCTAAGTATTGTTTGTACTTGAGACTGCAAAGTCATCAGTGTGTTACATTCTCATAGAATTAGATATTCAGGCTAAATGTGGAAAACCCCTGGAGCTTCCACAAGAGGGCAGACTTACATGCTTATGCTACGAACCGTAAGTAATCCAGTAATTCCCATGTTTCTTATTTTTGGTAGGTTTGGAAAGATGCAGCCACCCAGATATTCTACTCCCTGTCTGTGGCGTGGGGCGGGCTTGTTGCTTTGTCTTCATACAATAAGTTCCACAACAACTGCTACTCAGATGCTATTTTAGTTTGTGTAACCAACTGCCTCACCAGCGTATTTGCTGGGTTTGCAATATTCTCCATCTTGGGACATATGGCGTTTGTGTCCGAGAGACCTGTCTCAGAGGTTGTGGACTCAGGTAGGCTGATTGTTGTGCTTTTGGTATCGGGACTTGCTTTGACCAAGGCATGACCATAACCTCCTTCCTTCCGCTACTTTGCAGGATTTGATCTGGCATTCGTAGCCTATCCAGAGGCTCTCTCCAAGCTACCAGTTTCTCCTCTGTGGTCCTTCTTGTTTTTCTTCATGCTTCTGCTCTTGGGCCTTGACTCTCAGTTTGCCACCATAGGTGAGTGGTTTTTTAAGTAACTCATGGCTTTTCAAATGAACATTACCTTTCTTAATTGTGCTGCCCAAACCCCACATTTCTTCCTTTGTAGAAACACTTACAACCACCATACAAGATATATATCCCAAAGCGATGAAAAAGTTAAGAATCCCTATAACCCTGGCTGTGTGCATATTGCTCTTCCTTCTTGGTCTTACTTGTGTTACTCAGGTAAGACATTAAATTATTTTTTTGGGCAGTGGCTTTAATTTTGCTGCAAGCGATAAGTCAAAATGTCCTTTCCAACTGTTCCTGTTTGCATGGATCGATCTGAGAGACTTGAATTCTGCCAGGGTGCCTTGACATGCAAATAAGAAATTCCAGGAGGGAAGCTCTGAAGAACCTAAGGCTTTCTGTGATTGTTGAATGGAGGTGTGCTTTTAAATAGAAGGCCTGTACAGAGCCTGTGAACCATCAACTTGATTCACTGCTTCCCAGTTCAGGAGGTTATTTGTGTAATCTCAAGCATACACATACAGAGTGTTTGTAGCACTGTGGGTACCGCTAATAGATGCCAATGGGATCTTTTTGTTCAGAACTGACTACCAAACAGGACAGGATTTGGGAAATGGCCTGTTCACATTATAAGAACCTATTAGCTCACAAGCATCTGTAGATTGTATGGTTACTTCTCCTGTGTGTGTGTGTGTGTGTGTGTGCGTGTGTGTGTGTGTGTGTGTGTGTGTATATATATATACATATATGTGTGTGTACAAATAAAAGGAATTTTCAGTACACTAGGTACAATTTCTTGAGGCAACTGCTTTTAAGAATATAAAGTTCCATTGCAATTACTCCATCTATGTATGCAGTTATACTGAGAATGTGAAGAATATAACTGGGGTGAACAGACAGTTGTATGGTCAAGCAAAGCACATAAGTTATGAGACATGATGGCAAGGATGCTTGCAAATGACTTTGTCTGCAAGAGTGTGAAATGGCTTAAAGCTTGTTTTCTGCTCTATGGCCCTGCTAGTGCATGGGGGTGTTTAAAGCTGTGTTTAACCCACGTGGAAAACTTGTACATGTAGGAATATACAAGCCTACCAGAACTGGTAACTGGTATAGCTGTTGCTGTACCTCAGTACTAAAACTTCAGATCAGCTTTAATACAGTAAGTTCCAAATTGAAATCTTATTCTTAGCTGTTTATACGTACTCTGCATATACATATATGTTGTTATTAATATACAGATCTACAGCATTTCATCAGATGTGCTTTTCAACTTGACATAGAGATATTTAAATGAAATAGTGTTCACAAATGTGTACTTAACCTGGAGAAATGGGAATTTAAACTCAGACTGGTGATTAGTTAAATTGGCTTGAACAACGCAACTTATTTTATTTGTGTAGAAATGTGACTGGAACTGGGTACATTTTTACCTCTTTATGGTTTGTCCTACAGGCAGGAATTTACTGGGTTAACCTAATAGATCACTTCTGTGCTGGATGGGGAATCCTTATTGCAGCTGTCCTGGAGATAATAGGCATCATCTACATTTACGGTAAATTATTTGCACAGAAAATCCATGATTTGGCTATGCAGTCCCAGGCAGACTGTATGTTAAACATTAATTACCCCAGTAAGGCATTTATATCTTAACTAGCTGAAAAGCTTTAACAGTTTCCACTGAACTTGAGAAACTGTCCTTGACTGCTGTCTGTCTTCTATCCCTTCTGAGTAACCACACCTGCTTTACCATGCACCTTATGATTGTCTTTCAACAGGAGGAAACAGGTTCATTGAAGACATTGAAATGATGATTGGAAAGAAGAGCCGTTTGTTCTGGCTGTGGTGGAGAATTTGCTGGTTTTTCATTACTCCTGTGCTGTTAATGGTGAGTGTAGATGACTGGATTGTGTTAGTGTGACAGAATTTATAAATTGGATATTGAAGAAGTTTCTATGTGAAGGTGCCAGGCTGAATGCCCAGGTACTATGTATAAAGACAGGGTATGGCTGTGCCAGTGAAGCAAACTGCGCGCTATCTGTGCTTTCTGATACATACCGCTCCTCCTTGGGTCCTCTCCAGGAGAGGATGGACCTTCAGATCAGTTGCTAGGGAGCTGAGTCTACACTCTGAGGAGTAACACAGAGAAACCAGATTGCCCATTTTAACAGCTGGATTATCTTCATTTCAGACTGTGAGAAAATGTTTGGAAAACCTGGATTTTTCATCTTTGAGGGAAACCCCATTTTTTTGGACAGATCATTGTCTTGGGTTTGCTCTTTGGATGTCCAGTTGTTCCCCTGTCTGAGACTTTTTTTTTTGATGTCCTGTTATGTGTGTGTCAGTTTTGCTTTACTCCTGTACTTCTAATTGTGAGTGGTGATGGCTGATTTACGTTGCTATGAGAGAATTAATTAACAGCCTAAAACTAGGAGCAGTGGCCAGTTGCTCTGGCCAGCGCATTACCTTTAATCTGTCTGGACTACAGATCTTATTTCTGCAGCAATATTGGCCAACAGTTAATCTTTGATTCTTTCACATATTCCTGTAAATATAGGAGCATGGGAACATATAAAACATACAGAGAAAGGTACTGGGCTCATCCAGCAGCTTATATATCCTTCAACATGAGATTTCAACAGAACCCAGAGATAAGTTCTGTTTAAACACAGATATACTTGAAGTGGTAGGGTGCATATCAGTGTGGTCTTTCAGTCCTGTCCTTCAGTCTTACTGCTTGGCCATGACTAAACACCAGATCGTGCACAACTGTTCTTGCACTCAAAAAGCAAGAGGGAACTGTGCAGAATCTGTAGATAGCCCTTTTTGCCCTTTTTATTTTAACCAACTTAGAAATACAGTGCAAGTTCAAGTTAGCTGGAAATCTGCTTTTCTCTCTTAATCTTTTTTGCTATTTTTTTGTAGGCAATTTTGATCTGGTCTTTGGTCACATTTTCACCTCCCACTTATGGCTCAGTGTTATATCCAGCCTGGGGAACCGCTGTTGGCTGGTGCATGATTATCTTCTGTGTCATCTGGATTCCTGTCGTCGCTATTCTAAAAATAGTTAAAGCTGAAGGAAACCTTTGTCAGGTAAGGGCACAGAAAAGCTGTCATAGCCTCAAATCTTGCTTTCCTTGGCATTATCAGGAATGCCTGTGCTTTCTTTGCCAACACATGTTCAGTACCTTGAGGTGTTTGTTAATTGGATCTTTAGACCAAAACACACCTCTGGTAGCTGCATCGGAGGCAAATTTACCCGATTGTGTTCTGATAAGATGGTAAAGTCTAGTTCTCTGGGAGTGCACCCACATGTTCAGGAGTGATTTTCATGGCTTCTGTTGTCACTCCAGCTGCTTTAAATTTTCTGAAGAATTTCTATCATTTTCTATACCCATATTATTTTCTAGAGTTCTGCCTCCCATTCCTCACAGAAATGAGCAAGTCCAAGATCTGAGGTGTGCTCTTCTTGTCAAGCTTTGCCAGACAGTTCTGTTGGTCACAGCTTTCCCTGCTTGTTTGACTTCAGTGTTCAGAAGTCAAATCCAAAGCCAATTGGAATGATTTTTAAAAACTTTGATTTGTTTGCCATTTGTTGAGTTGCAGGGCATGTCTAGAGTTACAACTTTACTGAACTTTAATAGCCCAGACTAGGGTAAGACATTAAATGCCTCTTGTTTTTGCTTTCCAGCGCATTGTAAGCTGCTGCAGGCCCGCTGCAAACTGGGGTCCCTACCTGGCATGTCACCGAGGAGAAAGATACAGCCATGTTGTAGATCCCAAAAGGGAAAAGGAACATGAGATTCCTACTGTGTCTGGCTTCGTATATATTCAACAATGAGATGGCCATTCGGATGACAATTTTTTAACATACGTGTGGGTTTTTTTCTTTAACTACTTGAGAATAAGAATGCAAAACAACAACAAAAAACAGATCAATGCTCTGCCCTTCAAAACCCAGCCCCCAAATGAAAGTGAGATGTATTATTTATTTTTAGTGCTGTATGTCTGGGGAGGCACAGGTAAATTAGACACTGAGATCTCCCCAGATATTTAGGTTGAGAGGGCAGGAAAATGCATTGCAGAGTCCCCAGGCTAATGTAGGGGGCATGCTAAACCCCATCCAACCGTTATCCAGCTGGACTGCAGATACGGATTTGGAAAAGAACAAAAGCACATTCTGGTGCTCCCCAGCTACAGGAAATTTGAGCCAAAAGGTGCTGTGCTTGCATGCCCCGATGTGCTACAGCAGTTTCTACCTTCTGCTGTGCCTCGCCATCCACAGTCGTGTGCAGTTGGCAGCGAGGTGATGGGGTGTGCTGCTGCCTGGCACTGTAGCTCAGGGAACAGAAATAATTTTTCTCTGTCTAAGCCTTGTTCACTGCTGTGAGGCTGCTCAGGGTTTGATGTTGACTACAGTGTGTGTATGTTTTTCCTGTGCATCTAAATATTGAGTGAATTAAAATTGCTGTCACAGGAAATAAGGCCTTAAACCTGGTGAAAAGCAGGCTGCTTCCTACTTCTCATTATTCCCCTTGGGATTCCCGAAGAGCCATCTTCTGTGTCATGCCCTATGCTCAGCATTCATCTAAAAATCCCATGCTTCCATATTCTGTCCTTAGGCTCTGCAGGATGAAATAGTAACTGTTGATTTCTGGTGTGTCTGCCCTCCCTACTCTCACCAAGGCTTTGCCTCTCAGTTAGTTCTCTGCATCTTTCCCTCAGTCTTGGGTTTTGCCTTCCAAAGGAGACCCAAAGTGCTTCTTTAAAGATTCAGTGTTATCAGTGTTGCAGCAGAACTTTACCCCAAGTCAAGGTTGCAACTGCCTTGTAATGCTGTCACTCCAAAATTTGCTGAAATAATGAGGTTACGGAAAAGTTAGGAAGTTTATAATGCATTCTGGAACACAGACTTGTGGTTCTACCTAGGCACTAGTGGGTTAGGTTAAGAGAACCTGACTTCACTTGTAATACAAGTGAATTCCTGTTAAAGGATAAAAGACCTATGGATTGATGAATACATTTTGTGTGCTGAAGAACCTCTCTCTTACTGTGATAATCATTCCTTGAGAACAATGCAGCAGGGTTTCTAGCTGTCACTTCCTCAAGGCTTTGTCACTGTTTCTGGACATGAAGGACTGTGGATAGTGGCTTGCTGCCCAAGCTGCATACCTTGCTGTATGGTTTATATTGGTGTGTTTGTGACAAATCAACACTTCATGGAAATAAAATGTGATTTTTCTGTTTTTAATGGCTTTAGAGCTGGAAAATGAGTTTTTAGCCTTTTGTATGAAAATGGGGGAAACAGCTGGTCCAAAGGGAAGTACCACCAACCCTTCTATGATCCTAAGCCTTTGGGAGATTGAACTGGTAAGATTCAACCTCCAGGAAGCCACCTCTTATAGAAGTTAGGATCTAGTCCAATAGCCCTCTTTTGGAATGGGTTCAGAAAGTACAGAAAGTAATTGAGTGAGAATTTATGAAAAGAACTGTGGAATTAGAGCCTGTAATGGAAACTGGTGAAGAGGACCCCGTTCCTGCACTCCTGGTTCGTGACTAGACCGTGACTCCAGAGCAGCTGAAGAAAACAGTGCTGTTGCTGGCCCTGATGCATGGAGAGGCTGGGAGCAGGATGGAGGCTGAGCTGCAAAGCTGTGGTGCTCAGTGCCCAGTGCACTATCCATTGGAGCTGCCACAGTGGGCAGCAGTTCATACCCGGAAAGGGACAGGCTCTGGGAAGGAGACACAAGTTAGTCAAATAATGAGTGAGAATGATCCAAGAGGGGGGCGGGCAAGCAGGCTGGCCAAACCTGCTTCAGAAGGAATCCAAGAAAGTTTTGGCAAAAGAGATGCTGAAGGCTAATAACAGCCATCTACTGCCCTGCAGGAAGGGGAAGCCCCTCCTGCTGCACACAGTGCTCCTTTGAGGCTGCTTCTGCTCTGGACTTGTCTTATGGAGTAAGGAGTAGTTTTCATGATGTTGCACTATCAAAGGCTCCCAGAAGAGTGACAGAATACAATTTCTCAGGGGCTGGGGATCCAGTTTTGGTGTTTTCTCCATTCTCCAAGGTAAGAGAATCCCCCAGTTCTAAAGGCAAGGTTTGCTTGCCTGGCCCTGGCAGGTCTGGGATCCCTCTCTGGGTGTGAATGTCTGACATGTTGTCGGTACATCCAGTTTCTGTCGATCTCTCTGGATAACTTGATTTGCTCCTCCTGTTGCTGACTGCTGGCATCTGCTGAGGAGTCTCTGAGTATTTAGGAGTTGGCATTCATATTCCTCACCCATCACAGATCTGGGCCAGCAGCTAAGGTTCAAAAGCTCCTGAAGAAGTGGTGTCCCTCAGCACAGCTCTGGGGGCAGGCTGGGCCCAGCAGACCTGGGTGTATTCCTCATCCAGGCAGACTGGTGCGCAACATTCTGGTGTTTTCTGAGATGAAAAATCAGCAGTGCCAACTAGTGCAGCATTCCTGGTGAGGGAAGATGCTCTGTGCTGACCAGGTGGTCGAAATGCCTGTGGTTTGTTTTGTTGTTGCTTTTTGTTTTCTCTATTTTTTTCCTCGAGGGGAAAAAAAGAAAATGGTTCTGCTTTGGATCCAGCTAAACAGGAGTGAAAGGAAATCTCTTGGAAAGAGAAAATTAGAAGTCCAGAAGAAGGACATTTGCTTTGGATGGTCTCTAAATGCAACAGTTTTCAGTCAGGAAAGAGCACACAGGTGTGCAGTTCCAAAAAGCCACATCTGTAATGCAGAAACCTTTATAAAGAGATATTTCATCTGGCATTTCTATATGTAAAACGATTAGTATCCAAGCCTATGAAAGCAAATTTAAAACCCCAAAGTTATTTCTATTGCAGAGACTGTTCATAAGGATGAAGTCAAACTAAAAAGTAAGAATTTCATTTCTATCCCATCATCTATTTGCAACAGCCCGTTTCCCCGCCAGGGCTGCGTGGAGGTGTGCTAACCAGCAGAGAGCAGCCTGTGCTCGTGTCTTCTGCTCCGCTCCCGGCCCCCGGGGAGTGGGAACCTGCGAGGGGTCACCGCGGCCCCCCAGCCCGACCCAGCTCACCCGGGGTGCCCAGCCGCTCGCCCGCGGATCCGTGGCTCCAGGGACTGCGTTGTCAAGCAGCAGTGGTAAAGCTGCGTCATTTGGCACTTGCTCCTGCCTGGCTGGTGGCTGTTGAACAGCATCTGAGCTTTAGGTCAGCCTGGCCGTATCGAAAGGTCTTCTTTTATCCAGTTCCAGGTGTGTGAGAGAGATAGCTGCTGCTCCCGTTCAGCTCCTCTGTGGCTTCGAGCCCAGCGTTACGGTAGCAGTACGGCTGCACTGTTAAAGCCGCTCTGAAGTCTGCAGGCTAAAGTTGACCACGGGTTATCTTGGCAGACCAGTTGTCCCAGTAAATGGACCTTTCCAGCCCCACATCTCAATTTTGTGACACTCTGTACGCCCCCACTCCCAAGTCCCCAGAGCTCAGCTCAGCTGAGCCCCTGTTCTCATTCTCCATGCCTGTGGATGATGTGGCCTGGCAGAGGGGTCTCCTTCCTGGTTTGGTTGGTTGTTTTTTGGGGTTTTTTTTAATTATTCTTTTGTAAGAAGTATAGACCCAGAAGCAGCATGCATGTCTCTAATAGGAGGCTTTATTTTCCTGTTTCAGCTTTAAATCTAATTTTCCATCATTCTGTGGGTCTGGCACGTCCAGCTGGATCTTGTGTTATTCGGGCAGCCTTATCAGCTTCGACCTCTACAGAATGCACCCCGTGACTCATAGTTTTGTCTTGCGAGTGTTTGAGACATTTCTTCGATCAGCCTCAACTTTTGCTTTCCCAGGCTGTTTGTCTTAGTTTCTCACAGGCCTGATTTCTCATCTCTCACAGGGTCTATGGCAGGGCTTTGTGTTGTCATCTGGCTTCAGACGCGTGGCCGTGGCTGTGTTAGGTGTGGGGCACCATGGCACTGCAGTCAGGCTCCGAGGGATGGGGCAGCTGCCACACAGTTGTAGCAAGGCTGTTTGGAGAGGGATGAATGAGAAGTGAGAGGTACCATCGTGTGAGCAGAGCTGACTTGCTGGGGAGCTGCACAGGAGTGAGGAGGTGATTGCAGAGTCAATCTGCTGAGGGCAAAATCACCTATTTCCTGTGAATCGCCTTTGGAAAGTGTTGGAAATGTTCCACAAAACCTGATCCAGCAGAAAATCCCAAAATGATCAAACTGAAACCGGTTTTGAAACAAAATAATGTCTGCTGACCTTAAAGAAATTACTGGGGCAAAAGGCTTTACGTTGTTGGAAGAACCTGGTTTCAGTGATTTTGATGTTGTTTGCTTTTTAGTCCAAATGGTCTTGTTTTGGAATGTTGGCAAATACAGGCCACAAAGTACCAAAGCAGAAAAATACTAAGTTTAGCAAACACCTCTTGAAATTTAAGAAATTATTTTCTCAGTCTGAGCTGCTTTTGAGGGGAGTGAGGGGAAGGTTGACATTTTGACTTCTTGAATTAGAATGAGGAAATTGTTGTTACAACTGTCTGAAGGATGAGGAAAAATCTTTTCCAATTTAGCTCTCTGATGCAAGTAAGGCAAATGCTGGCAGGACCCTTTGAAGAAGAAAAAAAATGTTACCCTAATGATATTAGTTATTCTATAAAAGTTAATGTTTGGCCCTCTGTTAATGGGATTCTGGGAGCCAGTATCTAATCTCAGGTTCCTGTGAGTCCCAGGGAAACTCCAGATCTTCTGTGTAGATTAGCCTTTTGGGTAGACAGTAGAGGCGAGGGGAAAAAATGAACTGAAATCTAGGGGGTGTATGTAAGTGGCACTTGATGAAACGAATGAGGAAATAAGCCCACATAAAAACCTGATTGTTTCCATGGAAGTTTTTCATTGATTTTTGTAGATGAGTTGTCTCTAAAAATATGGGTTAACTGGGTATATGAATGGAACGTTGCAACCAAACCTCTGGTCTGTTCCAGGGCATGTACAGGCAGAATACTAGCTCCTGGCTCTGGTTCTCCTTGTCCTCTCTCTTGCCCCAGCGGGGATGCAGGGGGAAAATAAATACTTGTGATCTGAACTGCATGTGGTGAGAGATTTTCCTCCAGTGTGAACTTAACCTGGTTCATCAGCTCATGCTGATTGCAGCTGCAGTTTCATCTTGAGTCTTTTGGCCAGATCCAGTTTCAGAGGTTCTTGTTCCCACCACCCCTCCAGTTCTGGTTCTTCCAATAAGGAATGACTATTCACTCTTTCAAATAATTGTACAACCAGAAGAAAGATGTGAACTCACCAGGTGGCAGCTTTAAAGTGAACGGAGGAATGTTTTGTCCATCTGTGGAGTTCCTTGCCAAAAGATGTTGGTACTAAATGGTTGCATGACACCAAAATAATTTGGAAAAAACAATGGAAAAAAACCCCAAAACTCAAAGATACTACCTCTGGTTCAGGAGACTTTGAGAATACTGGGCAAGTGGGTCTGTAATGCTTCTACTGCTCTTATGCTCTTCCCTGGGAGTCTGTGCCAGGCTGATCTCAGAGACAAGATACTGTCCTGGCCTGGACCTTTAGTGTGATCTCATACAGCTGTCCTGGAGAGCAGACCTTGAACTATGTGATTCATATTTGCACACTTTAACTCATTTACAAGAAAATGCAGATTGTTGCCAAGAAAAACCTATTGAATTTTCTCTCTCTCTTGTGTGTGCTCTGCCAGGCATAAACAGATTCATGTTCAACAGAGCCTGAACACAGTTTCATCTGGACATCTCCCTGTAGTACACAATCTCCTGAGTTCTGGACTTTCGTTTTTTCTCTTCAAGCAATCACGAAGGCAGAACTTCCTCTGGTGCGGACTTCCTTACTATATACCATAAAGCAGGGAAAGCATGACTAGCTTTGCTGTGGGCAGCCTGAGCTCCACAATTTGAAACAAGCAGCAAGCACCAGTGACACCAGTTTCCCTCCCCGGGAAGGATAACAGTTCTCCACCAGTGTTAATAAAACCAAGATAAAGAAAGATAATTCACTTTAAAAGACGAATTGTGGAGCTTGCATGAAATCAGAGAGCTATTGTTCACCACCGCCACCACTTAAAGTGGATGCAAAGAAAAAAAGGTCACTGCCATTGTATAGTGAAGCACACCCAGTCACTGAGCCAAGTCTTGGACAAAAGTCGCTGCCTCCAGGGACATCAGGCATGGGAGGCTCTTTAGCAAGGGGCAGGACACATGTGCAACCCCCCTTTTTTTTTAAACTCTCTGAAATGCAACTATACATTCAATTTCGGAGGCACAGACTTTGATTTAATCCAGGATTTACAAAAT